AAAGATAGATTAGATTTTTTTTTGTTTAATTCGTATTAGTTAGTTTTTTTTTGTTGGTTTTTTTTTTACTTAAAGTTTTCAATGACGTATGCACCAGAAAACTTTAAGAAACCGTACGTGCGGTATACCTACAACAACTGATTGCAAGATTTTTACATTTGTCAATTTTATTAATTTGTCTAAGCATTCATTCATACAACTTGATTATTTCAATCGTTTCGACGATAAATGTAATTTCTTCAGAATGGATGTTAAACATATCAGCTTTAACGTGATCTCCGTCGTGAATGCACAGGCTGTGCGCAACATATGTCAGCCTGGTTGTTCTGTGCTTGAAATAAAATAGATGTTATGGTGCATTTTAAATATCGCATAACTTTTATAATATATTTTTGTAGGTTTAACGATGCTCCGATATAAACTGAGAAACAAAATAACGAAAAGTAGCATATAATACACATTTTGTCGGGCTACGAAGAAATTTTTATTTTTACGAAACTTATCACAACTCAATAAATAAATTAAACAAAAATATTGTGTTGTTAAGAAGATTTGTGTATTATAGTTATTGCTGTTTACAAGTAAGCCGACTATTTTTTTTTTTAAATACTATTTTATGTGGTAGATACTTACCTAATATTTGTTTTAGACAATAGGTATAATAATATACATCGACCAATATTTACTATGATATTTTAAATATTTAAATAATTGTCTTAATTAAAATTAATAGGTATTCAATAATCTATTACTAATGCAACCGATAAATAAACTGATACCTACGGAATTATAAATAAATATTAATTGTTATACTCTTGATTTTTTTTTGTATGCTTATAACTTATAACTTATAAGTTTTATCATGTACTCTGCCAAATTTAAGAAACACCTGCAACGGCCAGCTACTGCGTAGAGACGTCTAAATACGGTTCCGGGACATTTGCTGTCAATTTATTTCTATTTACCTGTTTATGAAATTGAAGAAGTAATTGAAGAACCCCGGACGCCACCTCCCCCCCTGTCGGTTGTAAATGAGTACCGATTTTGGGTACACAGTCGAATTTTAAATGTCGCACTTATATAGAAAATGATTTTGGTAATCGGAGTTGATTTTGTGATAAGAACTTCTGATGAGGCCCCTCTTTGGCTGTCTCGTTTTGAAGGCGGGAAGTTGAAAGTCGAGTTTTAGTGTCTAGAAATCTCCCATGGCCCATAAAAATCGGACATTCAATGATACCATCCCCTAGCGTATGTCCGGTGCTTTTTTGTATGTGTAAAAAAATGTAAATTCGAAAACCTGCATATTAGAGTGTGTTGCAAGTCAGTCATCACCCGTCTAAGACGAAACCAAAATAAGCAATCCGCCTGCGGCTGGTATGTGCCGTCGCATGCCCGGTGCTTTTTATTATGTAAAAAGTGTAAAGTCGAAAACCGTGTTAGAGTATCTAGCAAGTCAGTCATCTCAAGTAAAAATCGATTAACTTTCAAGTTAGCCACCTAGATAGGCAATCCGACTTTGTCGGATCGCGGACAATGTGTACAGCAAATCAGGTAGGCAATCCACCTATGGTGGATTGCAGACCCGACGTCGAGCGGCTATAAGTGAAAGCCCTATCACACAACATAATATGAAATAATTTACGAAAATACAAACTATATACAATATACCTACAAACAAATATAATATATTTTTTTTAATTTTTTTTTTATAATTTGTTCATTGAAACGACCTCTAGGCCTTCGTCAATGCTTATCACAAGTGGGTAGTAGGGAGATCATGTGATCTATTTATCTATGTATATATCACTATATGCATGACACTATACCCCCTCTTCCTGCAAGAGGAGACATGTGCGGTCTTCACTCCCGGTGGAGTGGGACCTAGTTGGAAACCAGATGACGCAATCGGACGACAGCAGGGGGGAAATGGTGATCGCGTAGAACCACACAAATTTATTTTGCACTGAGCTATGAATCGAACCGATGACTGTGTGAGTCGTAGTCAACTGCGTGACCACTGCGCCACTCTGGCCCCAAATATAATATGTATGTATTTATTGTATGATAAATAACAATGAACATTTTGAGAATCTCCCTCTCTACCATAGGAACCAATATCAACAGCAGTGCATTTACGATCCGCGTCAACGACTGCTAGCAAAACGATTGAATAGTACTCTTTATAGTTATAATATAATGATCCACATCGTTTGGGAGCCTTTATTCTTACATGTTTCCCATCTATCGCTCGGACACAGTTCGAGAAATTCCATTTTGAAAAAAATTGACTACTGTTTTGTCTTAGTTGATTTTCTGTAGGTGACCGCGACGGTATAGTTAACTCAAACATCCTTTTAATAATAGCCTCAGCAACTTTTCTTATTATGACACTTATCCAGGAATGACTGACTCGATATTGAAAAGCAAGTGACCGAAAAGATTCTCCTGTGGCCAAATGTCTGAAATAAAAAATCAAATTATAATTTGTGTTTTAGGTTCTGACTGCAGTAAACGATGGGCCTACGTAAGGGATTATTATATTCGGCGTAAAGGTAAACCTGGCACTGGTTCAGGTGGAGAGGCAGCAAAGAATAGGTCTGTTCTCCTATCATTCTTAGATAGCCTTCCTTCATCACAGTTACTAATTTTGTTGGAGATGAGGTTAGGTTTGACGAGAGTGAATTTATGGAAAACTCTCACGTTGAAGAAAACATCACCCAGATTGATGAAAGAGAAGAAAATATGACAATCATCAATAGTAACGAAGATAATAATAAAAAAATGGATGGTAAGAAAGACAACATTATGAGAGATAAGAAAAAGATAAAACTAACACACTCTGAAGAATGATTACAATTACTGAAACAAATAGTTAAACGAAACTCAACTCTTGCTAATGAATTGGACGAAATCGACCTTTTCTTTAACTAAATGGCAAAAATTGTAGGTTAGGTTAGGTTAGAAGCCTGTCTCTAAATCTTAATATAAACCTTGATAATAATAAATGAAATGTTGTGAGTGAAAGCCGTAAACATACTTTTTCTTCAATAACAAAATGTTTAGATGACATATGTTATCCACTGATTTGCTCGGAGTATAAAATATGTATTCATTCATATCAATGCACATGTCCAGATTATAAAATTAAATCAATAATATGCAAACATATTCATTGTTATAGCTATGGATACAATCTATTAATACTTGTGTTACTGTTTTTTTTTTTAAATATTGCACAATGAATTTTTTTGTTAATAAACGGGCCAAACAGTATTCAAAATGTTGCTTGATCAATTGTAAAAGCCACAATTTGAATAAGGATACTATAACTTTTTTTTACTATCCCAAAAGAACCTTCTATGTAAGACAAATCTTTGTTTAAAGCCGGCGACACATACGAGCATAGTTAAAGCAACTTAACATCTTTACGTATAACCGTGCTCGTGTTCGTCGTCTCGTTTGTGTTCTAGTGTGTCAGGATGTTACGCGCGCATTTGCCTAAATATTTTGGGCGCCCTTGATCTATCAGTTGTTCGTGGCTGTTCACTAGTCTATGTCGTGTGATTATGTCAAATTCGCAAGTGTCCTGTGCTGTTTTTAGTTTAATGCATTCAATATTGAAAAAAAGGAAGCATAAACGAAAAGAAGAAGATGGTGGCAAACAAATGTTTTTAAAAGTTGTAGTATCTATAGTGGATCAAGTTTAATTAACGACCTCAGGTCTCAAGAAATTAGAGGACAATTTAACTATTTTATTCGGATGTCATCAGTCGACTCTGAATATCTAATTACCTTGATTGGTCCAAAATTGCTAGAAATGATACAACATTCCGTAAAGCAATACCTGTACAAGAACGATTGGCAGTGACATTAAGGTATTTGGCAACTGATTATTCATATAGAATTCTTCAATATCTGTTCAAAATACCTCGACAAATGATTGGCCTTATTGTACCAGAGGTATATCAAGCAATAGTAGAAGCTTTAAAAGAAAATATTCAGGTAAGTAAACTATGTTATTAAATAATTTTAATCATAACGTTCAGTTATTTTAAACATGCAATTCAAAATAATAAAAGTTTCTAATTGTTAAGAATGCAATAACATGGAAAAAAATTAATTTCAATAAAAACCCCCCTAAAATATAAATTTATAATGAATGAACACAATTTAATTAAAAAATACAATAAATAACTCATAAAAAATAAGAACGACTTAAAGTACATTATAACTAATCGTTAACTTAAATATTTAAATGAAACAAATTATTATAAAGATAAAGTTATACATTTGGTTAAAATTAAAGTTAAAAGCTTTAGTTAATCATACATGTGCAAAATTAAAAAATACAAAATTTTACTAATTAAAAAAAAAGTTCTGCAGTCTCCAAATTATTTGTTGACGAAAATAAAACATAAAAAGATCTATTTATAATACAACAATAATATTTTTACTGAAATTCATCTTGTCGGTTTGAAATCTGGTCAGGAGTGTGAGAAATGCTTTTAGGATAGACAGAAGAAAAGTTGGTGGCAGAAATGGAATCAGTTGGTATATTGTAGTTGTTTGTACTTGTTGAGAAGGGATCAGAATTAGAATTAGTACCAGAAAAAACAGTTGAAGGAGAATGGAGAGGAGTAAATACAGTACTATCAAATCGTTGTGGTAAATAAGAATTTTATTAGGATAGTATATACTTGGATTCTGTAAAAAGTTTTGTTCAAGCATACCTTGGTCAGCTCTAAAAATTATATCAGTAATGCATATTGAACAGCACTTAACCTTCTATCGGTCGCGTGGTTTTTTTTTCATATTTGGTCGCGTGGGGTAAAAATTTTCCAAAATGTATGTATATTGATGAACAACTGTATTTATTTATTTAAAATTATTTAAAATTATACATTAGGTACATTTTAATATTTAAATCCAAAATTGTGTTTTTTTTTTTTAAATTAAATTAAATTATAATATTAATTTTATATAATATATTCTTGTTTTATTTACATTTCTTCACAGCAGCTTGGACACATTTCTATGAGATGATCACGGCAAATAAGTCTTGCACAATTTGTGCATACTTTTGTTGTCTTTCGATCCTTATTTCTGTCACAAAAAGAACATCTCCCTGATTGTCGAAATCGTTGAATTTCCTCTGTAGCATTTACACGAAATCCATATTTTACAATTTTATTTTTTATTTCCTTTGGTAATGATATGATAGTGCAGCGATATTCCATATGCTCCTTCATCAATTCTCTAGATAAACATTTCAAAAAATCAAGACGTGTCTTTTTGTTATGTGGGCAGTTTTCTTGATATATTAGTTGAGCATTGACACCTCCGATGTTTAGCATAGAATAAAATACTGTCAATGGCCATCGGAAACTTTTCCTAGCTACTGTATAATTTTCCGTCATGCGATCCATGTTATCGACGGCGCCTTTGGTGGCATTATATAAAGTAATTATTTCCGGCTTTCTTGCTTCATTCGTATTTGTATCAATTGCTTTATCAAAATGCATTGTTGAAAGAACTAAAACAATTTTATTTTTTTTCGGCATGTATGAAACCAACGTTTGATTTTTACTAAATGCAAAGTATGAAGATGTTATAATTCGGTGTTTTGTTTGAGTAAACTCGGGGGGGATCTGTCTTTTATTTTTCCGTAAAGTACCTAGTAGTGAAAGTTTATGTGTATTTTGTAAATCGTTAGCTAACTCAACACTGGTAAACCAGTTGTCAGTAGTAACATTTCTACCAGTTTTTGAAATCGGTTGAATCAACCGTTTGACAACACTAGCGGCTCCATTATCAACTTTGAACGACCCATCAGGTTGTGTACCAGCATAAATTTCAAGATTTCCTGTGTAAAAATTTAAATTGTCGCAGAGGGCAAATATTTTTATTCCATATTTTGCTGGCTTACTCGGTATGTATTGACGAAATGAACATTTTCCACGGAACGCTTGTAATTTTTCATCGATGCAGGTATATTCAGACATGGAGTATGCCGTTTTACAACTGCTCACAAACATTTCAAATATTGTCCGTATATGTGTTATTTTATCAATTTTATGTCGTTCACTTCGACCTCGAACGTCATCAAATCTAATGCAACGGAGTATAAACCGGAATCTTCGTTCTGACATTACGCACGAAAATAGTTCTGCCCCTGTTCCATCCTTTTTCCATAAATCTTCCGAACTTCGGTGTCCACATTTTATAGCACCTAAGTATACATACACAAAAAAATTGAAATAAAAATAATATGGCAAATATAATATGATATAATTATAATATTTTATAATAATATATATAATATAAATATATTATAATTATACTATACAACTAATATAATACAAATATAATATGATATAATTATAATATTTTATAATAATATATATAATATAAATATATTATATATTATATATTATAATATACATAATATAAATATATTATAATTATACTATACAACTAATAAAGTTATTTTATTTTATTATATTTACCTATCATATAAAGAATTCCAATGACAGCTTTTATTTCTGCAATATTTGTGTCAGAAGCATCTCGTTCCCTCGTAAAATTTGGTCGTACCTTTTGGATGTATACGTTCGTACATTTGACTATAATTTCCAACATAGATTTTGGAAAAAATATATACCACGAATCTACTATAGTTTTCGCTTGTCTCGCAGTTTCTTTTACACCTGATTTCTCGGTAAGAACATTCTGTGCATAGGCTCGTCTTATCTGAAGTGGTTTTTCACGGTTCCATTTAGTACCATCTTTACCATAATACGAATCGACCAACCGCATAGCCAAAGGTAAGTCGTCATCAGATTCATGATAACTTTTTTCACCACAAACATCAATAGTATCGCGTGTAATAGCATTATCTTCATCCGAGTATCCCGACTGTTCTGTGTCTGTATTGTGATTCGAAACTTGTGATTGTTCAGCATCTTCATTTTCATCACTAGAAATATCACCCCAGATTTCCTCATCACTAGCATCATCTAACATTTGCTGAATACGTCGACGTTGGAATTCGTCCATGTTGTATAAAAAAAATAATAATTGGTCGCACGGGGTAAATAATTTCCAAATACGACACAATCAACTTAAGCGAACGGTTAAAACTAACTGATTCACTAAAACAAGCTTTGGTCGAATCATATAATCAGATAAACATGTTATCAACAGCTATACAAGATATAACGTAGGCACGTTATCGTGGGAAAGTTTAACTGATGTCTATATTTAGACTGGGAGATTATTTACCCCGCGCGACCGATAGAAGGTTAATGTTGTTGCACTATATAGATAGTCGAAGTTTGTTCCCTAGGTATATTCCATAACTTCCGACTATCGTCCTCGTCGGTTGTCTTCGCAGCAGAACTCAATATTTCGAATGCTTTATTCAACATAATATCACCTTCGTTGTCAACTTTTTTTTCTTTTTCTTTCCTGAAGTTGTATGTGTAAGTTCAGGTGTAAAAGATGAGTCTTGGTTTTGTTCGTTATCATCGTGATTGACTGAACGAGATATCGATATGGATGCAGAAGACTCATCTGGTCCGACCAATCGGTGTTTCACTTCTGGGTATCTAAAAACATGTATCAATATTAATAAAATATAACGACAAACGTAATATTTAAAAAAAACTTCTGATGTACATTATATGTCTAGAGAAGTCATTGTAATGGATATGTGAAAATCAGAATTCAATGATATAAAATTATTGTATATACAAATAGATTCTGAGTAAAGATGGTCAGTGAACCTATATTACGATACTATACCTACTATAAAATACCTAATTAAAATTTTGAAGTAACCATTAATAATATTTTTAAATTACAATAAAATTAACCTGAAAATATCTATAAAAAAAACTGTTTTTATATTGGTATCTTTTAGATTTTTCGGTTACAGTATAAACTATTTATGAAAATTTTCATTTTAAATGTACAATCCTTAAAGCTATACGAATTGAACATATTATTATTCACTTTTTTCAACAAAATAATTTGTAAATACTCGAGATTTGAAACTTTATTTTAATCAGAAAATCTGCGCATGGATAAAAAAATATTACTGTAAAACTAATACCTTCCTTTTCACAGGTACTTATATTCTAATAAAATAATGAAAAACGATAGTTTTTTGTTAAATAGGTAGTAAATATACTAAAATGTATACAATGGAAATTTAATAATATAATTTAATATTAGCATATATTATTATTTTATAACAGATACCGACTACATAAGAAGGGTGGCTTAAAATTTCTGAAGAATTTGAAACTCGTTGGAACTTTCCTCACTGTTTAGGTGCCATGGATGGGAAACATGTTGTGTTACAAGCTCCATTCAATAGCTGTAGTGAGTTTTTTTAACTAAAGGCCGTAATATCGGATGAGGCGGGAGTGGGCACCAGCGTACCACCAAAGTTAAAATGGTTGGATAAACGAAAAAGCTAAGAGTGCTGAGAAATCCCAAGTGCCGAATCCGAAGCAATGACTATCTTCGGGAGCAGGATGCAGAGTATGTGGTAGTCATGACCACTGGCAAGCTGTATGTCCGAAAAGAAAGTCAGAGGCGGGAAACGCCAAAACGACCGGTGGGACCTCCGGGTCCTGGCCGGCCAGGAAGTAACCGGCGAAAAAGTCACGAGTCGTCCGAAGAGTTTTAAGCAACGAAGTTCAACTCGGGCAGTGAGTAACGTTCCGGTACAGGAACCACAAATTACAAGAACTGACAAAAAAAAAACGGAACTTCCGAGCGTTACGCACCGGAGACTCGGGAAAGGGCCCGAAGAAATCGGACCAAAAGAGTTCTGAACCGGTGAAATCTGGTTAAAACGTAATTCCTCCGGAGAAAAACTTTGGTCACCCGAAGGAAACCTCCGGAGTGAGGAGTTGTCCGGTGAAAACCGTCGAGCCTCCGGAGAGACGCTGGAGAAATCGCCGAAGCCACCCGAGAAAACGACGTTCCGGTAAAGGAACCACAGTTCGTGACAATGGACCGGGTAAATGGTTCAGTGATGGAAACGGGTTCCGACAAGCTGGACAACAGGTCGGGAAGATCATTAAGGATCGAAAGTGTTCCGGACAAAAGTGAAAATCTCACCGAGGTGAGTGATTTTTCCGGTATGCGCGAAGTGGTGCTTAATCACGTGCGGGCGTGCGACGTCTGTGCACGTGTAAAACCACTGAATCGCAAACCAGAAGATCGGATATGCACCCGAGTCCCAAGGCAACCTTGGGAGGTGTTGGGCATCGATCTTATGGGTCCATACCCAAGAACGCAGAGGGGCAAGACAACGATTTTGGTAGTGATTGATTGTTACAGTCGCTGGGTAGAGACGTGCCCCTTAGGAAAGGCGACGACCAAACCGATTGTGGATACATTCGAACGGGAGTTGTTCCCACGGTTCGGATACCCGAGGGCATTATTGTCAGAAATGGAAGGATGGACGACTCCAATATACCACCACCCACGTGCCAATCCGGTAGAAAGGCCTCATCATCTGTGGGATGTCTACCTGCCACACGTGTTGTTCTCCGCACGAAACAGAGAATACCGAAACACCGGACACCGGCGATTGGCAGGTCGAGCTGGCCGAAGGACCTCTGGACGCGGGCAAAAATGATCCGGAGTTGTCCGGAGCAGTGCGGAACCCTCCGGTAGAAATCGAAGATTCTCCGGTGGAACCGGATGATGCTCCTGTGGTAGAATGGGTTACTCGGTGGTTTCCGACCACAAAGCCCCCAGTACCCATATACCCCCCCAGAATCCCCGGGAAGAAGCAAGCTGTCAGTCGGGGATTGGGTATACTACAAAGCGCATCCGCAGTCAAGTGCGAAGAAGCTTTTTCACGCGGGGTTCGCCCCGAAATGGTTAGGTCCGGTTAAGTTGGGTAAACCACTAGGAACCGGAGTGTTCTTGACGGAGGGTAAACACCCTACTAAGTTATATGTCTCGACGATGAAGCGAGCTGTAGGACCGTCAGAGAACACTAACTAATCATACCTTCTTTCAGATGACAGAAAGCACCAATAATCCGAACCCGTCACCAAACCTCAACAACCGGCCATCCGCGGCATGATTGCCGCCCCCGTGGAGAAGCTGCGAGCCATGGCCGGGCAGCTGCTCCGAGAAGCCAGGAGGCTTTCGGGGGATGGACTGGAGGGCACGGTGAGCGGTTGGTCGGCTGAACGCGCGAAAAACCTAACCTAACCTAACCTAACGCGCGTCATTTGGCCAGATCCGGGCTAGCCCGACGGCGTGGGCTCTGTTCGAACGGGGGTTCACCGAGGGGCGTCGGTCCACGCGGGCTAACACCCCGCAGCCAGAAGCTGCCAGGACTCGGGCAGGACCTCCTGGGAGGGCACCACCCCGCCGGCGTACCAACGCCACGATGTGCGGGACAGACGGGGGCGGTTCCAGCCTCAGCCTGCAGAGTGCAGAACCACCGGTGCAGCAGCTGACCCAGCCGTCAGCCACGCCGCCACCGGTAACTCCGCCAGCCGACTCCCAGGAGCGACAGCTGGCCATGGTGGAGTACTGGATCGAGACCATGGAGGTGACGTCCGGGGCCCCGCACCTAGGTTGCTCGGGCGCGTCTAGAGGATTCGGGGGGGATTATGTCGCAACAACCGCGGCGTCTCTGTCGGCGTTCGCGAGATCGCGACCGACAACCGGTCTGGCCTCCGTCGGCGCCACGAGCCGCCGGCCGGCCAGCGGCGGTGGTAGCGGCTTCAGCTTTTGCCGGACCGTCATCGTCGTAACAACGTGTATATATTATTGTCACATAATATACTGTTACGATCTGTGCAAATAAAAGTATTGCCGAAACTAAAGTGTCTCATTATTCTGTCTGCATTCTTTCCAACCGTTCCTACACCTACAATATATACCTATACACCACCTGGAACTTCTGATTCTGAAACTAATGGTGAGTTAATAGAAAGAAGCTGGCGAATGGAAAATCAAAATGCAAATACATCAATTTAAATAAGAAAACTATTATAAATCTGACTACAAGATAGCGATATAAGTAATATTCTTTGTAGTCATATTTTTATCAAATACTTTTTTTCTTTTATACACGTTACACTGTATTATACTTGCATATGTTTTTAGTTTGATTGTTGATAACTTGGCAACGCATTATAGACATTACTATAATAATAAACGATGATTATTATCAAAATATTATTTATTCTTCGCAAGGTGTATCAATACACCCGGATTCTTCGTTTCCTTATTAGGCGATAGTGCGTTGGTCAATACTCGATTACAGGTATCGTTACGTATTATATTGGATGATGGTTTTGACTCATTTTCCGATGATTATAGTTCAGATGAATATTTACCGCCAGGTATGCAAGAATCAATCATACAAGAAGTGATTCTGATAGTATTTCTGAACATAGCATTGGTATTGAAAATGATGAGTGGAGGGATTTCCTTCCAGGGAGTGGATTGAATACCTTATATTTTTCAGTTTACTAGCAATCCAGGTCTTCAGTGTAATTTACTAAATGGCGAGCTTTATAGTTATTTTGATATATTTTTTGATGACCAGCTTTATAATAATATAGTTACATGGATACATATGAGAGCAAATAGTATTATAAGTAATGGTCTAAAACAAAATTCAAACCTAGGATGATGGAAAGATATTGATGTACCTAGATGAGTTAAAAATGTTTCTTGGTTTAACAATTCTCATGGGCTTTTTAAAATTTCCAACACTTCGTTCTCACTGGTCTAAAAATGAAATAGATTATTATCCGATTTTTGGGAATACAATGAGTAGTCACCGATTTGAAAATATTTTGCGCTGCTTATGTTTTTACAATCCAAATTCGGTTGACAGACCTGACCGTTTACATAAAATAAATAACATCACAAAACATATAACAACAAATATTCAAAAAATTATTAGCCAAATCAAAACCTTTCGCTTGACGAATCTGTGTTATTATGGAGGGGTAGATTGAGTTTCCGCCAGTTTACATAAAATAAATAACATCACAAAACATATA